CATTTGCCCCCTCCTCTGGGCTCCTGACTCTTTCTGCAGCCTTTCTACTGCTACTCCTTGGCTCCTTCTTACTGCTGTCTTTGAGCCACACCCCTGATCTTCTGGTAGGAAAGATCTACACCTAGCCTTCTAGGACAAGGGCGAAAAATCTCGGATGATCCGTGTTCAAGTTGCACACGTTAAAGATCCCTTGGTGGTCTAAAATCTATAAGAGAAGGCTTCGGCCGCCACCGGGGCAAAATTCAAAGTTCCCTACCTACTGAAAATATTAGGTGTGTCCAGCGCGCTCATATGACCAAAAATAAAAAAGTTTCACATCTGAATAAGGTCATGAGGAGCTCAAGAATTTCAGACCTGTTTCCAACCTTCCTTTTTTATCAAAAATCTTGGAGAAAGTTGTTTTGGTACAATTGAAGAATCATTTAAAAGAAAACAATTTATATGAATTATATCAATCTGCCTATCGGCAATTTCATAACACAGAAACTGCGCTATTGAAAATATATAACGACCTCTTGTGTGAGGCGGATGAGAACAAAAAATCATTTCTTTCTCTTCTTGATCTTAGTGCTGCCTTTGACACTATAGATCACACTATTCTTATTGAACGATTGTTCAACACGTTTGGCCTGTCTGGCAGGGTTCTTGACTGGTTCAGGTCCTACCTGATTGGCTGTACACAATCTGTGGTTGTGCACGACTCTCTTTCGAAAATTTTAAAGCTAGACTTTGGAGTGCCTCAAGGTTCAGTATTGGGTCCAATCTTGTATACGTTATATACGCAGCCGCTTGGAGCTGTGATTAGAAAGCACAATATGAATTATCACATGTACGCAGACGATACACAGTTATATAAATCTGTTCCACCATCAGATGTTAAAACCTTGATTACTACCATGGGTCTGTGCATTGATGACATCAAAAAGTGGATGGTTGATAATAAGCTCCAGCTTAATGAAAATAAAACTGAAATTCTTTTATGTAACCCAAAGAAAAGCCATATCCCCGTAGACATTGATCATATTTGTACTGAAAATGAAAAACTGTATTTTACTAATAAAGCAAAAAATCTGGGAGTGTATTTTGATTCAAAATTGTCAATGGAACATCATATCAATTATTTATGTACCTTTTTATTTTGTGAATTGCGTAGAATTGGTCATATGTCTATGTTTTTGAATGAACACTCGTTGAAAACGCTCGTGTCATCTTTCTTGTTTTCGCGCATCGATTATTGCAATGCTTTACTAGCTAACTTACCAAATACCACTCTTCACAAGTTACAACGTTTTCAAAATCATGCTGCTAGGCTTGTACTAAAGAAAAAGAAGAGGGACCACATTACGCCCATGTTAAGAACGTTGCATTGGCTTCCCGTGTCAGCAAGAATGTCATATAAAATTGCTATATTATGTCATAAATGTGTCAATAACAAAGCTCCCTCATATCTTAGTGATCTCATCCAGATTTATATTCCATCCAGATCACTAAGATCAGGCGATCAGTATCTTTTAAGAGTTCCTAGAAAAGGGGGTAAAAAATTAGCTGAAAGATCGTTCGCCCACCTTGCTCCGTCAGTTTGGAACTCTCTTCCCCAACCCTTGAGACATACAACATCTGAGTCTAAATTTAAGAAATCTTTAAAGACACATTTAATGACATCCTTTTTATGTCAGTAGATTCATGTTCAGTACAATGCTATGTAAATGACTATGTATCCATTTATGTATTTTGCGAATTGCATTGTGTATGTTATTTTATGCTCATTTCGTGACGATGTGTAAGCGTGAGCGTGTGATAAGCAAGTAGATGTGTGTGTTTGTGTGTGTGTGTGTGTGTGTGTGTGTGTGCGTGTGCGTGTGTGTGTGCGTGTATGTGTGTGTGTGTGTGTGTGTGTGTGTGTGTGTGTGTGCGTGTGATTGGCATACATGTGTGTGCACATGTATGCGTGTTATGTGTTCGCGAGTGTGTATGTGTGTGTTTGTGTGTGTATGTGTATATGTGTGTTTGTGTGTGTGTATGAGTGTGTGTATTGTGCGTGTGTGTAGCATGCGTGAATGTTGTTTGTACATGCATTTATGTAAAGCGCCTAGAGCTGTGTTTACATGGGAGTGGGCGCTATAGAAATGATCTTCATTATTATTATTATTATTATTATATTACGAGCGCTTCGGCAAGTTTCCATGAAACAATAATGTGTCTACAGAAACCTGTTTCATAACTATACTATAGTGACAACTTTTTTAGAACATCGTAATTAAAAACAGATAAGCTCTTACAATTCTAAGTGGGTTTTTTTCCTTAACCGTACGCCCTGGGGTTATTTATAATTTTGTACCCCTGAGGTTGTATTCTTCACATTTTAGAAAACTTATAGTTCGAAGATCTCTTTGAAACGTTCAGATTTGTAGAAACCCCCGAAATGTGGGTGAGCCTGCTTGTCCTTAAAAGTGACCAACTAAGAAACCAGTGTCTGAAGTACGGCAGCAGGATCACCCACATTTCATTGGTTTCTACAAACCTGACCTACACCAAAAGTGGGCATTGCCCTACCTATAGGAGAACTTTGGTTTCATTGGTGGGTATATTTGTTTGGTTATAAAGGAAACTCTCCTTGTCTTTCAAAAAAACCCTGCAGACTTTTGAAAGCTTTTGAATGGGCTGACCCAAAAAATGTCTGACACCTCAAGTGAAGAGTTCACTGCATGTAGCAGCAGAACATGACCCCAAAGACTGCGATAGCCTCAGCCTCATATCTGGTAAGTTTTTTAAATCAAATTATTTCTGTACTGTATCAGTTTTCACTTGAGTCCTGTTCCACATAGTAATAATAGATAACATTTGTATAGCCCAAATCCCCACTCAACAGCAAACTCTATATGCGCTTCACAATCTATACTATTACCCCAGCAGACCTGAGAGCATTCTGAAACAGCCTCAACGTCCTGGGAAGCATAGTACCAATCTGTTAGGTAGAAAATACTTCAAATATATGCTCACAAGGCTAGACTAGACCACGTAACCCAGTGATACAGAGAGGACAAGCTTGGTGGGTTAGCCTACTGTACAAGTACAAGGGGTAGACTATTTGTGTATATATATATACTTCAATGCAGGAATAGTCCAGAGAAAGGTATGCCTATAAATTTTGGATGGGATGGCCCATTTCGCACCCAGATTTACTTCAAAGGCGTTTTCTGCATATCTGCACAACTGAGCCAACCCAACTTTTTTGTCTTCTGATTTCTTTTTAATCGAGTAGATAATTGTCAGTAATTTATACGTATACACGGCAGATATGGTCATAACTGACTCATGTGCGAAACCACAGAAGAATTCATTTGAAAACAAATACGCAAAGATAGATTTTAAGGGTCCAAAAACTTTACCTTTGATTTTCTCAAAACATCATTTTTCGGGATAGCCCGCTTGTGTTTAAAAGCGACCAATTGTAAAGCACCAGGGTTATACAAGGTTTGCACCAACAAAGTAAAATGTTCACACACAGCAAGAAAATGTTTGGAGCAACAAAGAATGAAAGATTTCACTGGCACTTTTTATTGACAAAGAAATAACATCATCAGAACAACAACATAACAACAGCAATGGGGGAAATTTTTACAGACAACAACTGCATGTATATCACTCTGTCACCTGTAAATCACAGAACATGTTGTACGTCAAAATGAGTATATAATTATATATATATATATATATATATATATATATAATATACTGTCTGAGTGTGTAAGTGTAACGTATAAAAGACAAGAAATCTGAATTCTAACTTTTAAAAAAAATAAAAAATCAACGTACATGACGTTGTAAGTGTGTGTACACCCCCAGGGACAAAGGATGAGTGCTTATTTAGCAAAGAGGTCATCAACTCTATTCATCATCCCTTTCTAAAACAAACCACTAAAAATCTGGCAAATTTCAGTTTAAACCGACTCCACTGTATGATTCTCTCTAGTAATATAATAATCTCTAATCTATTATTTATAGTCTAATCGTTGGCACTTTATATATAAACTAACTAAAGGGTACAACTTCCGCATCCCACAAGCCTCATTTGCAGCCAATCACACACATGTACCGGATGAGTTTATGTGACAGTGAAATGGTGATGATATGGTATAGGTTTAACGCCTCTATCAACACTACAAGGTTATTTAACCCTATCAGTGCGCCCTGGGGTCATTTTGTACTTGACATAAGGATAGGGTTAAAAGACGATATGTGAACGTGTTGTGCAAGTTTGATCCAACTTGTGCAGTGAAAAAAAGTGCAGAAGTTAGCACTGGTAAGTCAGAACATACAATCTGTTTCCTCACAGAGACTTTCTCCCGAGTCTGAATCTGAGCGTGGGCGGTGAGATCATGAGTCATGGTCAGAAAAGGGACATCATGATGCAATCCTCGCTTACAATTAAGGAGTTGAAGAGGCGAACTGTTTAAAAAGTGAAAAGATGGAGAGACAAAAGCTTTAGCTAAGCAGACAGAGGAGAGATTACAATAGTGCATGGAGAGTTTTGGGGAGGGGAGGTCTTAAAAGAGTTAGAAAACTATACCATGTTCTTTATCAAGACCATTAGAATTTAAATTGAATTTCAATATTAAGTATTTTGCCTTAAAAAAGAAAAGCTTGCAACATCTGACTATCCATCAAGTGCTTATCGTAGGCATACTTTGTCATTTTTCAGGTTTTCTCAAAATGCTGTTTTAGCCACATGCTAGAATGCTTTGATAAAAAAGAGTTTTTAAAATTCCTTTTTCTCAGATCTCCCACCAAATGTTTTATTTCAAAGTAAGCCAAGTTTGACAGGTCCTTATTTCAAGAAAAGAATATATCAGCTGTATATTCCCCTACGATCACGTCAGGAACCAACCATGGCAAACAAACGTGTCTTGCATTAATGCAAAAACATGAACAGTGCAGCCTCTCTATAACGACCTTTGATATAACATCTTCTGTAAAGCAACATGGTGCCCAGGTCCCGATTTTTTCCTCATAAATCAATAGTGATTTTCGGTAGCCTCTCTATTTATAACGACAACTCTCTATAAATAACTATAACGACAACTCTCTATAACTCTATTAACAACAACTCTCTATAACTCTATTAACAACAACTCTCTATAACGACCTTTTTTTCTGGTCCCGACGATGTCGTTATAGAGAGGCTGCACTGTAAATAAACACAAACACAACGCCACTGCCCAGTGTCACACTCCGTCATACCTCAGTTTATCAAAATGGCGTATGGCGGAATCTTTTACCAAGCAGTCGATGAAATGTACATTTTCACATCATTAACAATTAAATTAACCCAACGGGTGAGAAATATCGGTTTCTTTCATTTCATGATCATGACGAGAGCCTGACTTCAACAAGAAGCCTCACCAGTGACTTTGAAGCACCGTTATTACAAAAATATTCTGTATCCTTTTGATCAGCTGCAAGATGAATAAACCTGAGACAACCACAGCCGGAGACTTGACTTATCCACCTTCAGAATCTCCAACACAAGACAGACTTGGCAGCACATGACAGCAACATAACCATTCTCCACACTCAGCAAAGTTTTTCCCACATAATGTTCACATTTTCACCATCTCCTAGATTTCTCACATAATGTTCACATTATCACCATCTCCTAGATTTCACATAATGTTCACATTTTCACCATCTCCTAGATTTCACATAATGTTCACATTATCACCATCTCCTAGATTTCACATAATGTTCACAATTGCACAATCTCCTAGATTTCCATCATGGACTCCCCTGTCTCCTGTTCCCGATTTTTCTTTGCCGTCACGCAAAAGTCGACAATTTTGTTGACAATGTCCTTGAAAGCGACCACAGCCGGCGTGCCGTCCAGCTCCTCGATGAAGTTCTTCCCTTCATCGCAGCAGCGCGCGATGCGTGGGTCCAGCGGCAGAGTGCCCAGAAAGTTCACGCCCTGGCTCTCCGCCATCTTGACAGCGCCTCCGCTGGTGGGCGGGAAAATCGTCGATGATTTATGGCAGTGAGGGCAAATAAAGTCACCCATGTTCTCCACAACTCCGACCACTGGCAGCGACACTTTGCGACAGAAGCTGATTTCTTTCCTGACGTCCGCCAGCGCCACTTCCTGTGGCGTGGTGACGATGATGGCCCCGTCGATGCCGGCCCCGTCCAGGAACTGGACCAGCGAGAGATGCTCGTCTGAGGTGCCCGGGGGCGTGTCCACCACCAGGAAGTCAAGGTCCTCCCAGTCCACATCGCGCAGGAACTGTTTGATCAGACCGGACTTTTTGGCCCCGCGCCAAATAACCGCGTCCTCGGGGGAGCCTGCGGGGAACAAGAGCAAACACAGGGAGTTTATTGTCAGACAAACACAGGGAGTTTATTGTGTGTGTCACAACACAGGGAGATTATTGTGTGTGTCACAACACAGGGAGTTTATTGTCTGACAAACACAGGGAGTTTATTGTGTGTGTCACAACACAGGGAGTTTATTGTGTGTGTCACAACACAGGGAGTTTATTGTGTGTGTCACAACACAGGGAGTTTATTGTGTGTGTCACAAGACAGGGAGTTTATTGTGTGTGTCACAACACAGGGAGTTTATTGTCTGACAAACACAGGGAGTTTATTGTGTGTGTCACAACACAGGGAGTTTATTGTGTGTGTCACAAGAATAAACACAGTGAAGTTTATCGCCTTAGTTTTAGTAGACGGTTTACGGCGCTCGCAACTGCATAAGGTCACATGAGCGCCAGAAGATTTTGCAAGAGAGTGACAAACATAAAAAAGATAAAGGGGACATAAGGATGATAGATGTTTGATGGGAAAGAAGGAGCAAACCACACTAGAGCACCCGCCAACCGCCCACGTTTATCGTCTGTGTCACAAGAAGTCAACAAACAAAGCAGAAGAACAAACACAGGGAGTCATGTGTGGGCACTTCTTCAAGGACTCTCATGTGTGGGCACTTCTTCAAGGACTCTCATGTGTGGGCACTTCTTCAAGGACTCTCATGTGTGGGCACTTCTTCAAGGACTCTCATGTGTGGGTACTTCTTCAAGGACTCTCATGTGTGGGTACTTCTTCAAGGACTCTCATGTGTGGGTACTTCTTCAAGGACTCTCATGTTTTAGAAATACATTTAAAATCCCTAAAAAACACATTTTAAGTACGGAAAACCAAAATGGTAGCCTATAGTAATAGTAATGGCAAATGTAAGGCATTCTTACAAAATGAGTCACTTCTCGGAATTTTAGCCATACAAACATAGATACACCAAATTTATAGGTCGAGTCTGTACAATTTATTAGTGACCCAATAGTCTCAAATGATAAAAAGACATCATTAAACTTGAAGATAATATCATCTGTTGAAAATGTACAAATTTGGACCCGTGTGTCGACTTTCCGCTGATATCTCTATTTGTAGATGGCAAGAAGTGACTGACTCAGTCATCACGGCTCATCATCATCCTTATAGCCTTTCTCACCCTGCACCAGGGAATAGGTGAACCAACAAACACTTTCTCACCCTGCACCAGGGAATAGGTGAACCAACAAACACTTTCTCACCCTGCACCAGGGAATAGGTGAACCAACAAACACTTTCTCACCCTGCACCAGGGAATAGGTGAACCAACAAACACTTTCTCACCCTGCACCAGGGAATAGGTGAACCAACAAACACTTTCTCACCTTGCACCAGGGAATAGGTGAACCAACAAACACTTTCTCACCCTGCACCAGGGAATAGGTGAACCAACAAACACTTTCTCACCCTGCACCAGGGAATAGGTGAACCAACAAACACTTTCCACCTTTCCCTATCCTGGGGCTAGTCGCTTGATGTCACTCCACGTCTTCCCACTTTTCTGTACACCCATTTCCGTGACTCTTCTCCAGGTTCCATTTGGTCTTCCCCTTGATCTTTTACCCTGTGGGTTCCAATATCCCACTTTCCTTGTTAAGCACACATCACAGCTCCCACATGTACAAAACCTACGAAAGTGTGGATGGTTGGCGGGTGCTCAGGTGTGCTTTGCTTCTTCTTTCCCAATCAAACATCTATCGTCTTTATCTCTCCTCCTTCTTTTTTGTGTTTGTTACTCTCTTGTAACACCTCTAATCTTTGGCACTTATATGACCTTATTGTGATGCAAGTGCCGTAAAATGCTTAACTAAAACAAAACCTAGGAGCGTCTCACCGAGCAGAAATCCCACAGACATCATAGACACGTTGTCCGTGACGTAAACCGGGGACCATCCCGAGCCACTCTGGTGAACCGTCTCCCCGTCCACACCCATGATACGGGGCAACGACGGCCCACAGATGTCCACGTCCAGCACACCGATCTGAAATGTAACCCAACAACATGGCTTAGTTTTAGTAAAAGAGTTTTACGGCACTTGCAACACAATAAGGTCATGTATAAGTGCTGAAGATTTAGAAGTGTTACAAGAGAGTAACAAACTCACACACAAAGTAGAAGGAGGGGAGATAAAGACGATAGATGTTTGATAGGAAAGAAGGAGCAAAGCACACCAGGGCACCCACCAACCACGAACAACAACGTATTTAGATGGATGAAAAAATAAATGGTGATGTTTTTACACCCCCCTCCACACAATTTAGGTCAAATAGGAGGCACACTTGCGACTGCCTGTATGTCAGGGCCAACCAGAGCTGAGAGGGGAAACAACATCCCCGCAGAAAGACTGAGATACTCAATAACAATTTTTCCCTGTTCAGGAATCCAACTCTCAGGTCTCCTGTGTGCTACAGCCAAAAGTGCCTATCACAACACCACAGACATCAGTGCTGACTGATATTTTGAGAAAGGATTAATTAGCAAAACAAAGTAAATATACAGAACCTTTGTCATTTAAACAGTATTTTGATTGCTTTTCACATTGTGTTGTGAACATTACAAATTCAAAATTACACAAACAGAGACGGAAAAATAAGGGAAACAATCCACCATTTTCAAGAGACATAAATAATCATATATTTGAGTAAGAAAGTACGTGTCCTAAAAACAAGACCCCAGCAATCTGAGGACATAAAACGGGTAATTCCACGCACCGCATCCTCATAATGGGAGAAAAAGTTTCCAGCTGCAATCTGAAACACAGCGTTACAAAAACAAAGTCTCGAAATCATCTGAGTCTGCCAACCACTGGAGAGGAGAAAAGGTTCCATCCGTCTTAGACAGGTGGACATCTTAGTATTCTTACGCAGTGTCAGTATAATCTAAAAATGGACAAAGGCAGGGAGGGGGAATGTGAAGCGGAGATTTGTACAGGTGATTGCCCCTTACCTGGCTGTTCTCGTGTGCTCCCAGGGCATGTGCCAGGTGTGCTGTGAATGTGCTCTTCCCCACACCTCCCTTGCCCGACAGCACCAAAACCTACAGTGGACACAGCACAAGAGGATCAGATTAGACATTCTGGTATAATGCTTCCAAGGACAAAAATGGGAATATCTGATTCATCAACTCCACCATCAGTATTTCGTTTTAAGAAATTGAAAATAGTTATTGAGAAAACAAAACAGTGGACCAACCGAATCACAGATCTAGGGGGATGTCATCCCTTTCACTGAAACACACAGCCCTTTTTAGTTCTACTTCTTTTTTAAAAGTCTTTAGGATATTCCAGTTTTGACCCAATAGGCCTTTTACGTCTTTCAGAACCCTACACCCCTACTCACACCCGCTTTGAACCTTAGTAAGACGGCCATCCATTACCGAGGACAAAAATGACCATCTTTTAAATAAGCAGGACTGATCAAACTGAAGAAAAACCATTCCCTTTTCAAGAATTTTGAGGTCTCAGCCGGGGGAGATCACAGGCTTAGAACTACCATACTACCATTAATTATGAGAAAGATATAGCTCTCTATAGAACAATAAAAACAAATCATGTCAAATGTGCCGTCACCACTAAGCGAGTTACACTTGTCGTTTAAGTTCATCTTATTCATGTCTGCCAAAAAACACACGCATCTTCCTCACCAGCTGCTGATATTTTATTACCGAGTGGTCAACTTACACAACATAGACCTACCTAGCATCTGCGTTTGTCGTGGCCCGCGAATCGCGGCCATGATTTTTGCATTTTTTTAAAAGACACAAAAAAAGCTACTCCATAACATATTAGACATGTACTTTGACAAGCTTTAAGATGTCCCTGTGTATCTATTTTCATGCAGAGAATAATACTATAAGTACCTTACATGTATATATATCGCTGTCTGTCTTTTATTTTTCCCTCTTTGTTGTGTTTTAATTTGTCGGTGTGTTAATTTTTCTAAATATAGTTCTGATGATTTGTTTTTCTTTTTTCTGTGTGTTTAAAAGCGTAATGTCTTTTAATTTAATGCTGTTCCCACCCTTTTAAAAATATAAATGTGTTACGTTAGAGCGGGTTTCCACCAAAACCGAATACTGACAGTAGCAGCGTCCCTATTGTGTGTGATTCCATAATTTACATGCATTATCCTGTAGGCTTACTTTTTCTTGAATTACACACGTTTAGGGTTAAAACAGCCTATCTTCGGATAGGTGGACACGCGCCCTTATTTGATAATTTTTGTGATTGTTTATCTGTGTTGTTCTAATTTTGGTTTCATTCTATTGTGAAATCTTTATTTTTCACGTTTTCCCCCTGTGGGTGACTACAAATGATATTCTGAATGTTTAAAACAGAGCACAAGAAATTCTGGTGCTTTGGATTGTTACCTCTATCAACGTATTGCTCTATACGTCGTCACAAAGAGTTGAAAGCTTGAAAATTAATGGCAACTTTTTGGGCAACTTTTGGACAAAAAAATGGCAAAAAACGCAGATGCTAGATCTACATGATCAGTTCCTTCATGAGAGGAATTAACAACGATGGTGATTGATGTGTGAATGGATTACGACGACTCGTCCACATTATCAGGGGTTGTCGGGCGATGAACTTGTGTTGCCATCTTAGAATTTAGACAGTTTTTTGTTGTTGTTGAACAGGATGTCATTTTGCGCAGTGCTATTATAAATAGAAAAAAAAAATGCAAGGGGAAATGGAAAGAGGCTGTTTGCACTGACTGCAGCATTCAGGATGATCTGGTTTTGGCTCCAACGATAACTATGGAGTGTGGGTTTTGGCTCCACCAGCAATTATGTCTGATTCTAAACGATTACTTTTTGTTGCGTGTGCCGATCTGATGTTTGACACACGGTGAGCGAGAGAAAAATTCAGGCCACCCCCCTGAAACCCAACATATATCTGTTGGGCGCGATCTGTCGATTTGCGCGATCCATCAATCCCGCAGGGCATTTGGTTGATCGAAGTAACGCGCGACAATCCATCGATTGTTGCGCATTCTGTTGATCAGCAAATCGCACAGCGCTTTTTGTCGATCCGTTTGGTTGCGCATTCTATAGATCTTACCGCTGAGTTTTGTTATGTTTTGTTGTCGTCCAGTGTGTAATTTAGTTTGACTCTCCAAAGTCAAACCGAAACTGAATGGAAGTAACTGGAAGTCAGGGGGGTTACAACAACGAACTAATCAAAGTGACTATTCGAGTCTAAATAGACAAAAACTATATTAGGACTCTGATTTGAGTCCAGTATGATGTCCGTTCCGACTTACGACCTTTGTTTCTAAATATTTCCAGCATTTATGAACATTTTTTTCGATTATAATGATAACAATTGAGACGTGAGCTTTAATATCCAGTTACTAGATCTATCTAAACTGGTCCCCCATGCGTCATTAGTATGAACAAAACTAAGTTGAGCGGGGGCAAAGTTAATTAATTATGTCGACCAATGAGACTGCGCGTAGCAATATCGCACTCTTGGCTTAAGGGGGAAGAGGTGTTGGGAAGAGGTCACGGCTGTCGATTTTGTGTGATGTGATTTTTAAAAAATTACAGAAAAACTCAACACTCAACAAAATCAAATTAAACATGTATGTGGAAAGACAAATGGTGACGGAAGTAATGATGATGCTGTAGTGGTGGTGGAAAGACCCTGAGTTGTCGGTTTCCGTGTACTTAGACACTGCTATTGGGTAGATCTAATGAGAGTGCAATAAGGGTAAGGCCTATAGGTCGGTGAGTATCACTCACTGACGTGCTCAGTAAACCAATTTTCTATTTTTTTTAAAAATTCACTTCATCATCATAGTTTATCGACAGAATGCGCCGTAAGTATTATAATATTTCATGGATCGACAAAAAGCGCTGCACGATCCACTGATCAACTGAATGCGCAACAATAGATGGATTGTCGCACGCTTCCTCGATCAACCAAATGCGCTGCGCGGTCGATGGATCGCGCAAATCGACAGATCGCGCCCAACATATATATATTATCTATTTTAGCTTCCCTGACACTCCCCTTTAGTTAAAAACAATTGAAATATTACTCAAATTACTGCTCATTTCGTACTGAAAAATAGCAGCACATCTCTCAATCTCTTTCTGATAAAACATCGATACCGAGTATTTAAGTCAGTATCGATATCCAGTACTCTTGGGACCAAAACCGGAGAATGCCGACATGGACTATTCTCACCCGGGGTGAGAATAGAAATACGATTTACCTCTCACCCCGGGTGAGACTTGCCAGCGTAGGCTATTCTCACCCGGTGTGAAACAAGACCTGTTTTTCCTCATTTTGGAATACTGTCTGAGTGGATGATCAAATTGATAAAAGCCAAGAAAAAATTACGTTATAGCACAAAGTAAGCTCTAATTTGATTGTCTTCAAAGATGCTACGGCTATTTCACTTTTCGAATCGAGCCGATCTACGCGGGTCGCCATTTTGTTTTGCTCGGAAGTTCTCGCAAGATCTGCTCCTCCCCTCTCTCTCTCTCTCTGTCTCTTTCTGAATACTGTTTATCGGTGTGGACGATAAAATTGACCAAAACAAAGTGAAAAAATGATTTTAAACAAGAAAACTAAATTAATTTGGTTGTCTACAAAGATGCTACGGCTATTTAACTTTCCGAATCGAGCCGAACTACGCGGGTCGCCATTTTGTTTTGCCCGGAAGTTCTCACGCTACTCCTCTCTCTCTCTCTTTCTCTCTCTCCACTGCCCACAACAAAATTGCATGCTTTTAGGCTAACACTAACAGTAGTAATAGATTTAGAACATTTGTTCACAGCACAGAATTCTATAATTCTGTTATCACAGTGTAGAATTCTGTGGTTCAGGGTGAACGCTTCACTGGTTGGCCTAGGCTATACTATAACGGTGAACGCCCACCGGGTGAGAATAGTCAAAAGACTCGCCTGCGCTATTCTCACCCGGGGTGAGAATAGAAGTGGCCTGCCGACATATAATCAACATTTATCAGTGCTTCCACCAGCTGAAGCTGAAAAGTAAGGAAAATTGTGCAGGGAGTCTGGGGGCCTCACAGGCCCCCAGCAGGGTCCAGGGACAGCTAAATTGAAATTTAGTGCTTTTAGAGGGTAGAAAATGGCATTTGGGAGCCTATTTGAAAATATTTCCTACAGCCTATAATATTTATTTTTTCACCAACATTTTGTCTTGTTTGACTTCATCACCAGCATATCTTTCCAATGCTGGAAATGTTTAAAAGCAGGTTCCCCTTTCATTGCTACTATAATTCAATTAATTTGTAGTCGCACCATGGACAGCAGGCAAACCTGGGAATAATGAATAGATGTACCTGCAAAATACGGTTGCGCAACGTATACCCACGTTTTTTCTAAATTTTCATGTATGAAAGTCGCCTGTCACAACCTCGGAACACCACTTCGAATTATTCTTGATTTTATACGTGGTGCTCACTATGGACGAGATCGGCCGATCGCCCGCCTCGATCGCCTCAAAAACAAACGTGTTTGTTTTCAGTTTCAATGCAAACACGGTTGTTCGACCGAGTCGGGCGATCAGCGCAATCGGCTGATCCCATCCGTAGTGGGCACACCCGTATAAGCATATATTTCTTTCATCGCGGCCCTTATATTGCGTTCACGTGCCGTAGAATCTTCGCATTGATAATTTCTCTAGATCTAAATAAAATTTGGGGGAAAAGTTCCTTTCTGACAGTAATTTTCGGTCTTAGAAGATCAAAATCAGTCTTGATCAACGCGCAGATTTTCCAGCCGCCGCAACAATCCGAAGATAGACAGAAGGAATGAGTGAATGACAGAAAGGAGGAAGTTGGCACAAAAGGTTCGCCAGATTTTGATCCATCTGCAGGTAAAAAAAAGTACTGCCGACGAACACGCAATGAATGCATGGGACTGGGACATAGCGGTATAATGTCCGATTGCAGGAAATGCGCAATTTGGCAGGTTTCTATAACGTTAACTTGTTGCCGAGAGAATTACCGTAAATATCCGTAACTTATACAAGACGATACGAAGGCAGGTACGGAATTTCGGCAGTCCTGCACTGTCGCAGTTTGTTTTATGGAGGGAGTTGATAATGATGGAGGAACAAGTACGGAACTGGCAGAAAGTACGGATTTCCGTAAAAATACGGAAGAGTGGAAGCACTGATTTATAAAGAGATCTAAATATTATCAAAATTAATAAATAATTATAAATCATGGCACGGTTGTCTAGATTAGTAATAACGAAGTGTATACAGACCCGGTAACCGGGAACGAAGTCACGAAGTATACAGACCCGGTAGAGGAACTCTTTTGCGATTTCGGAAAGTTTCAGCGCCCAGACCTGATAGTGTGTGTGTGTGTGTGTGTGTGTGTGTGAGAGAGAGAGAGAGAGAGAGAGAGAGAGAGAGAGAGAGAGAGAGAGAGAGGTGCTAGCAAAATGTATATATATGACATGCCCCGGTTGGCAGGAGGGAACGAGAGAAAGATAGCGAGTGGGAAATAGGTGGGGAGAAAGAAAGACAGAGACAAACAAAGACAAAGAGAATGCGAGCGATACACAGAGACAGAGGAGAGAGAGAAAGAGAGAGAGAGACTTACTGCTCTTGAATTGAAATTATGATATTGTTCTTTTCTTCAAATTGTGATTCCTCCAACTCCAAAAAGGAGGAAAAACGATCGTTCATCGAAAAGACATCCGCAATTTTCATTTAGATCTAGAACTAGGCTAGCCTCGAAACTAGATCAAAGATTTATGTCTGTCTGTCTAGACCTAGGCCATAGATCTAGAACTAGAAGAACCCAGGTCTACCCTGAGCCAAGAGGGCGCTGAAACTTTCCGAAATCACAAAAGAGTTCCCCTACCGGGTCTGTATACTTTGTGACTTGGTTCCCGGTTACCGGGTCTGTATACCCACTCACCCACTGGACTGGTTGTGGGTATAATGGCAAAATCAGGTCTCTATGCAGGGAGGGAGAATAATACAACAAGTAACAAGGCTCTGAATCTGCTATCTGATACAAACCTTATGCTTCACATTCTTTAGTTTTTGCTTAATTTCTTCAACAGCCGGGTCAGGTCCTTTGGGCAGAACGGAACAAATTGACTGATTGGGGCACCCTTGACAAGCATCGGCTTTCCCAGCGGCATCGCTGTCGGTGCCTGGGCAATGATCAGGGGCATTCTCGGGCACGGCTGACATTTTCGTCGACAGCTTTATCCAACCAAGATCAACCTCCACAACAGAGTTAACAGAGAAATGTCAACTGAAGGAAAAAAGAGTTCACTGTTTAGACGTATCCTGTACTTGAATGATTGTGCAACGTCACTTCAAGTCATCAAATCCACTATTGCACGCACCAATACCTCCACCCAAAAATACCAATTCCACGGTAGATTCTAGTTCAGCCCGTATAGAAATCGAAATCAGGTTCCATAGACTTGTGTTCCTAGATGTCGCACTGCCATGGCCGCCACTCTTCGCTCTTGTGGAAACTTAACCTGTACAGCGAGCAAATCATTGGCCTTACCTTAAAGTTAAAGCCTAAAAGAAGTGTAAAACACAAAATTCTCTATATATCTAAATGAGTGTGCCCGGCAGCACTTTCCCCTCAACCACTTCATAATTTGGCTTAAGCAGAATAAAATAAAAACCGGAAATACGTCATAGTACTTAAATCTATGATATTACACATAAGTCTATGATATTGTGTAAACAACCAGCATTGAATGGTGACTTCCGGTGTAAGTTTTATAAAAAGTTCACATAGTGTTTCTGAATCAAATAATTTGCAGTTCAGAATTACATTCCAAGGGATATTATTACTGTTAGGATAATAATAGGGGAAACGCATTGTAGAAAGCGAAATATGAAATGTTTTGTACCTACAAGAAGACTCATCAATAATTTATATAGAATTTCCTCCTTGATTTTATGTGATGCTGCAAGCTGACACATTGTTATTATATTGATTCTGAAACCCTAAAGCTGTGGAAACAACC